TTAGTAGTGGAGCTAGGGCAGTAGTCTGCCAGGAGGGCAGTTGCCAGAGGTGCTTGTTATGCCTGTTTGTTAGCTGCCCGGAGCAGCTTTTGGTGGGAGGATGCTGATGCAAGGCATTTGGAGGGGAGGCTGGTAGGAGGTGCAGAGGCAGGCGCCACCCACACCCTCCACTGCCAGGGGAGGCATGTGCTCCTGGGAGAGGGGGTGGAGGTAAAAATGGGACTTTATTGGGAAGCTGCAAAAAGCAAGGGTGGGGGGGAGTGGTAAGCAAGAAGGTGCAGAGGGAGACGCAGGATGAATGTGTCTGGCTTAAGTTAGGCAGTTGCAGTCCCGAATTTCATTTATCTAAATTATACTGTGGGCTAAAGGGCCCTCTTGCTTTGGACTAACTAGTTGTTAGGAGCCTGTTCCTTTGCTTCGCTGTCAGTGTCACCTCAGGACAGCGTGCCTGGTTTATATAAAACTTGCTCAATGCGTCTCAAAGGTATTCTAAGGTCACTCCCCCTCCCCCGCCCCCCTGTAATGCCTCAAAAGCCCTGCTGCTGCACTGGATTACTCTGAAGAGCTAAAGCTTGCAGACAGCAACAGCGGGACTGGTGGGCTAACGTATCATAATCAACTCTATATATAGCTAGGGAGATTTAAAAAAAAAAAAAAGCCCTGCTTTTTTGCTGATGCTAAGGCATGCTGCGAAAGGGAGGATTTGCTCACCATTAGAATCTGAAATGTTTGATTGGGGTAAAATAGTTCCCAGGACTGAAGTAAACACACTCTTTAGTAAATACAGAACATTTACTGTAGCTTATTGGATGGATGTTTTAATCTTTTGAGAGAGAGGTCATTGACCGTGTTAGTCTGCAGTTTGGCAGAAAGCAGGGTAGAGTTGCATCTTAATGCCTAACTAAATAATAATGCAGTACATCTATGATTCAGTGGATTTTTAACCTTTTTTTTCATTTGCAGACCCCTAAAAAATTTCAAATGGAGGTGTGGGTGCCTTTGGAAATTTTGAATGGAGGTGCAGACCGTTTTGTATTGTAAGTGTGGGTATTCACATACTTTTGATTGATTGTAGTCATCTTTTGCAGACCCCTCAGACAGTCTGCAGACCCCCCCAGGGGTCCGTGGACCACAGGTTGAAAACCACTGAGTTAGGTTATAGGGTGCAAATCTATTTTGCTAGAATGTTTTCTATTTTCTATTTTACTAGAATGTTTTCTGTCTTTGTTTATATAAAACAGCTGATTCACAATAACAGCAAGAGTGGGCCCTGATGTCTAAAACCTAAGACACCAAATTTTTAAAGTGAATGTTAGGGAATTCTGAGTTCTTGGAGGGCCCTGGGCAGCTTTTCTAGTTTTGTACTTAAACCACTAGACAGTTTTACCTCTCTGTACAATTGTATAAAAGGATCTAACTAAATAATATGTCATTGTAATAGCATGTGCATTTATAACATCTTTGATGCTCTCACCACACTTCCCAAATATTAATTTAGTGTCATATTATTGCTCTGAGGTAATATTATCCCTAACTTAGCAATTTCAGTACAAAAAGGTGATGGGTGACTTTGAGCAAAGTCGTGCAGCAAGGCTGTGGGAGATCCAGGAATAGAACCTCAATCTCCTGACTCCTAGTCTTATGCCTGAACCACAAGACCATCCTTCCTCCCCTAAAGAGGTAGAGAACATGATGCTCACGTACTCTAGAAATAGGGCACACGCCACTTTTAAAATATTAAATGAAGGAAATCAAGTTACTTTTTAACATCCTAACTTCAATTTTTTTCAGATTAGCTACTACTTATACTAGAGTTTTCCTAATGTGTCTTTAAAGATTTCAAAACTTTTTAAATGAAGTTTCGTTCTCAATTTTGTGCGGTATAAAGCTTGCTTACGTTTTGGAAAGTGACTACCATTGTATTTCTTTCAGACAAGCTTAGTATAATCAGAATAATGTTTTGAAGTGTCATTTTAAACTTCATATAGTATTGAAATACACCAAGGAGAGGAGACCTGTATTTCCTCCTAAATTGGAAATCTAGGCAGTTACTGGCTGGTTGAATAGAATTTATTTTTTTGTAAAAGGCAGAACCAGAACTTTGTTTGAATGTTTCTTCACAATAATTAAAGTAGATGCACAAGTTCTGATTTTTACCTTTTTAATAAAAGTGTGCATTCACAAATACAGGTGCTGCTGTCTCTTTCCTTGAAAGGCTCTGTTGATAACTGAGGAATTAGATCCTCACAGGTAATGAGCCAGTAGTAGCAACTCAACAGTTTGATTTTTCTGTTTTTTTTAATGTTTGTTTAGCACAGATGCCTAGGAGATATTTGAGAGCAAATACCTTACTATTTTATATTTTTTCTTTCTGGAGAAAAAGGCTGCACACTCTTCTGCTTCAGAAAGTGAAGCCACTACCCTGCCATTCATTGACTATTGGGATTCTACAACTGGATTGTTGAGAGACAGCTAGGACCCACTGTAGAATATGCAAAACTTGGTGAGGGATTTGGTGGCTTGCCTCTTCAGTTAAGGGCTTTAAATCCATGTCTCTTCATCCTCTGAGGAGCACTCCAGGAAGACAAGGGGGTACAGCGGAAACTAGCATCCTGATACTTTCTTAAAAACTGTTGTGCTTACTTATTAACATACTTACCTGGCTTCTTTGCAAAACAAGAGCATAGATCCACGCAGGCTCAGTATGTCATGACCTTCCAACAGCTGCTGTACATGAGTAAGAACCTACTACTGCTACTACCTCACAGAGATTCACTTCCAGCTCAGATGGCAGAGATCTGTGCTACCACTCCTGAAGATCAATTCCTTTATCTCTCTTTATGACCTACTCTATATAAATTAACATTTCCTACTCTTGCCCTTACCCCATGTTTCAGCCCCTCAGTACTGGGCTGAATAAATACTTAAGGTAGATTGATTTGCAAAATGATTAATTAAAAACTGAAACTGTGATTATGTAGTCAATATTGTACAATTAATTGCTGCTGACATTACTGACTGGCACTGAATTTGATCTAGAGCTCCCAAAAATGCCTTAACTTGATGGTGAGCTTAGTCTTAGCTGATGTCAGATTATTTTGCATTGGAGATGTTTGAAAGTGATTAAAAGTAACAGTGGTGAGTTCCCTCATTTGTGTAAGTTTTGTATTATAACTGCTCAAAAAGATGATTATTTTCTATCTTCCAGTGAGGTAGATTTACAAAGGCACCTCTACATGGAATTGGATTCTTTTTTTTTAACAAGTTCTGCATATTCTACCGCAGTGGTAGGCAAAATACGGCCTGCGGGGCCCTAAAAAATGTAGAAAATTAATATTTATCTGCCCTTGGTTAGACCTTCTGGCCTGGGACCACATGGCTGCACCGCGTCGGAAACTCAGGTAAGGGGTTGGGGAGGGCAGGGGAGGACCTGAGCTGAGCGCGGGGAGAAAGTGGCCCCTTGCCCACCACGTGGCCAGCACCCTACACTGAAGCTGCTTGCAGCCTGCCTGGGGCTGCCTGTGCCTGCTCAGGACAGCCCCGCGTGGGCTGTGAGTGGCTGCAGCTGGGAGCGCCGGCCAAGGGGTGGGTGAGGGACCGCTTTTCCCCATGCTCAGCTTTTCCCCAGGCTCCTTCCCAGCACGGAGGAAAGCAGCCCTTCCCCTGCCCTGTGGCTGGCACTCTGGGCTCGCCCGTCGGGGCTGTGCACGGTGGCAGCAGCTGCAGCCCTGCCACTTGCCGCGTTGGGCAGTCTTTGCTGCTGCTGCCTGCCCGGAGCTCACGCTGTGGTGAGGCTGGCACTGCCGCCTCTAGGCTGCCCAGCGCACAAGGTCTGGGCAGCCAGCAGCAGCAAACACTGCCTGGAGCGGCAAGTGGGGGAGCTGCAGTTGCTGCCACCATGTGCAGCCCCGATGGGCGAGTTTGGAGCCAGCATGGGGCCCAGGCTGGCAGTGGGGACAGGTTACAAGCTGGTGCTGAGTGGCATTGCAGCTACTTGCAGCCCACAGTGGGTTGCATTTGCCTGCTCAGGACAGCCCTGTGTGGGCTGCGAGCGGCTGCAGCAGGGAGTGCCTGCCATGAGGCAGGTGAGGGGCCACTTTTCCCTGCGCTCAGCACCTGCCGGGGAAAAGGGGGTCAGGGCTGCTTGCTGCCCCCCGCCTGTACCTCAGGGCTGGGGGTCACTGGGAGTGAGCAGGTGCAGGAGCCAGCAGGAGCATGGGGCCCGCACTGGTGTCCTGGGGCCAGTGCTGGTGGGGCCCAGAGCTGGGTGGCAGGAGCGCGGGGTCCCAGCTGCAGGGGCTCTGTGGAGCCGGGCCAGCTCCCCCCTCCCTGCTGGTGCAGCCCAGCCTGCCTCCACAGACCCCTGCCAGCCTGTGCCCCGCTTTGGGCCCCATTGGTGCTGGCCCTGGGACATTGGTCCCAAAACATTGGAACATTGGTCCCAAGATGGTGACCAGGGGTGGGGCCTCTGTCAAGGGGTGGGGCTACCCCTGCAGCCCTCAACAGCCTGCCAATACTGGGTAAGCGGCCCTCTGCTCGAAATAATTGCCCGCCCCTGTTCTACCGTGAAGCTTGACTGTTTCTTACTGTCCTGGTTGCAGAATCCAATTTGTCAGTGATTAACAGGGCACAGGTTCCACTTCGAAACAGATAACCTTTTAAGTGGCACTGCTCCCCAGAAAGAAAGATACAAAAGGAGAATACCTTCTTTAAGCTGTTTGGACTCCTGTGCACCCTAGCTCATAAAAAGACAAAGAGCCAAATATCTGTGATAAGCAATCAAAATCTTAATTCTTTGCGGAAAAGATAAATTCTCCATCAGAGACAGGAGCCCAAGACGGGTAAGTGCGAAATGAGGTAATTGCTCCGTGCCATTGTGGGAGATGGTACTTTTAGTCTTAGTCAAACTCCCCTCTACTTTCTGTAGAATGTGACCAAGTCAAAATGGGGATTTTTCCATGAAAACCAAAGAGTTTAAGGCAGTAAGAAGCATGGTTTCATTGTGTGGTAAAGCAACTCATATCTAGCCTGATTACCTGTCTTGCAGCAGCTTTGGCTAGTTCCTCTGTAGTGAAATAAGGTGATTCCCATATTAGACAGTTTTCTCCTCCAAGTCCAATTGAAATCGGGGAATTCTTCACTGAAAAGGGAGCTCAGTGGCACTTCTCCAGCCCTTAAGAGTTTTTGCAAATAAGTTCACATGGGAAGTCCTGGCATAGATGGAATCTGTTTCAGAGGCCCTTTGTTAAAGAACACTGTTCATAGCTGACAACTATGGGTGCGTTTCATTTTATTTTTCAGGTAGGACTACAAGTTCTGATGTGGCTTCAAACTTGGAAGGCAGGCATATGGGTGAAATATTTACTGATGGCCCCAGAGTTCTGGGGCAAGATTTTCAGTAAGCTAATGGATAACATCATGATGCAAGTGCTGGAGAAGAACAAAGAGACTCTCTAGCCTGAAGGAAATGCAGAGGGATGTACTACAAACCAAAGCAATTGTTTTATGGTTTTCCCACCAACAGATGAAACAGGAAATCAATGACCAGTACAGGAGAGGCAGAATGAACATGGGGTGAATTTGTGAGCCATAATTCACTAACCTACACACAAAAGACATCATGCCAAACTACCCCAGCCATAAAAGAAACCTTGTCTTGGGGGCAGGCTGCTATTATTCATGAACAGATGGCTGCTTTCCAGTTCGTAAAAATACTTCTGGATACCTCTCCCCAAATGTAGTGCATTTACTCCAAATTATGTCTGCTCAGCAATATGCAAGATTGAGTTTTGCACTAGCAAGTGTTTTTTATTATACTTAAAATGATGACTGCTTTAAAACTTGATATTTGAAGCTCCTGCAGCTCTAGAAACAAGAGTTTGTATACAATTGGGAAGAGCCGTTTTCTGCTCCCTGTCGGAACATAGCAGTCAACTCTAAGCCTGGGAGAACTCAAGATGCTAAATCTGAAAAGTCATTTTTTTTAATATGTAGCAAAGCTATTCAAGAGGTTTTAATAGCTTCCTATGAGTTCTATATAACTGCATTCATGATAACTAAGGCAATTGGATTTGCAGGTAAAGTGATTTAAATATACAGTCTCAATTTTTTAAACTCTGAAACATTACTACAATAGATTTTCTGCTACACGTATACACACAAAGTATATAATGACATGCATTCTGCCAGCACTTGTTTGAGGTAATCAGCATAACCCTCATGATGAGCAAAATTGCTATCTCAAATTCTGCTGATGAAACCTTAACACTACACCTTCCACACACAATATATTTTTGTGTTAAGTTTGAGAGAGGAGAGCTTTATTGTAAAATTACAAAAGAAGCAGTCTCTTCTTCAGATCAGCAGTGGTGCCAGTGACCTTCTAATGGCCATTTTCTTCATTTGCTCTTAGCCCTCACTTGAGTTTGTCACCTACACTCTGGGTGTAACCTGGCTGGATGTTTGGTCTTTGATGTTCCCCTGATTTGAAGAAGAATAGATACAATAGGGTTTGTGCTGACAAGTATAAGGTTGAACTGCTTTTGTAAAGTGGCAACTAACTGTTCAGACTTCTTCACAGAAAGATCCTTGATGGTACAGGACTGTATTTGGGTTTTATACGTACATGAACTTGCACCAGATAAATTAAATTGCTTTAAATTCACACCATGTTTTATTTTGGTGGAAATGGCTGGGTAGATACCCTTTGCAACATAAGTGTTTTAGTTTAATTTAACAAACTGATTTAAAAAAAAGTACTTCTGAAATAGGCCACCTTTGTTCCAAAACAAGAGTTGCCACACAGACTTGTACTGAAATACCAAAATGTGTGAACTAAACCTGTTTAGTTGTTATAGCTCAAATTTGTATATTTATCTATGCTGTTCCTGGATTCCTGTGATCAGAGACCTGACAAAGAATGTTTTGCATTTGACAGCTTGTCTGACTTTATCCCAACTACATAGTTGGTCCAATAAAAGCCATCACCCTAAGAAATCCTTGCCTCTTGCATATATTTATCAACCCATTCAGGGGTTAACATCCCATAAATCTGTTCGGTTGCAAGTGAATAACTTAATTTCATACTTATAATGTTGGTAATTTGGGGAAATACGTTTTACGCCTTCTTGTAACTGGACTTAAAGGTAGTGTTGTAAACTGATATTGCAGAAGAAGATGAAAAGAAGACCAGTTGGTGTCCAATATAGTGCTCTATGAAGTAGGACAAAAGCTGACAGGCTACCGACTCAAGAGATGCAAGCTTTTCTGCAGAGCTCATCACTACAGTATTTCCAGGCTTCCCAAGCACTACTGTATAGCATCCCCTATGAGATGAAGGAGTATCTTTTGCAGTTTACAGGTACATAACTGAGGGACTGAGAAGTTAAAATCAGAGGGGGCTGCTAATTTTGAAGGCCAATCTGGGATGTCTAGAACCTGTGTTTTTCCTAATATTTAGCATTATAAAACACAGTTTTCAAAGCATGGCTTACGTTAACTTCTGGTAGCAAAGTGCTAATATAGATGCAACTTATATGAGCAAAACAGTACTATGTTGGCATGAGTCATTACCCTCTCCCACAGTATAATAAGCTGTGTAAGCAAAATCACCTACACTAGGGGTTAGTAGTTGCCTTAATTATGATACAGTACTATTTCTTCCTGCCCACCCTGCCTTAAGCAACTTCCAACTTCTGAAATGCACAGGGTCCTACAGATAAAGGGATGTTAGTCTGAAATCAGTCAGAAGGCAGGGTAGATATGCACCTTTATAGACTAACTAAATAAGACAGAGAGTGCATAAGCTTTTGGGCTAAAGATCACAAAAGCTCACAAAAGTGACTGAAGCTCACTTCATCAGATGCTGTGAAAGGACATGGAAAAAGTAGAGTATAAGAAGGAGAGAGAAATTAGGATACAGAAGACAAGGGTGAGGGAGAGTGGGTAATGCTAGGATAACCCAGCCCTTGAATGTACAACCCAAGGGCAGGTCCATTATGGGTCCTGAATGAGGCAGGGAGATCATGGAAAAAAGGAATATGCCATCTTGTAATTAAACACCCTTTTATAATACATATACGTAGGGTTGAATTAAGGATGCATAGGTGACTCTGGCTTGCTTCTTTTTTCAGTGCTTAACTTATACAACCTTGAATTTTTTTAAGTCGTGTTCTGCTGGTACCATTATATATTTTTAAAATATACATATATGGTTACATGGTCTTCATGTTTGTTCTTTAGATGTAGAAAGCCAAAAATAAAATGGTTGTGGGAAAGTTCCTAAATTGCCAGTAACTAATTAGTCATATCTCTGATTTCTGTGTAAGAACGGATGCAAGAAAATTCTGCTTCCCTCTTGTGTAAGGTTTTACAGCAGTAGACAGTTTTTCCAAGACAGACAGCATTGTGTGCTATGCATTGACATCCTGCCTCTAATTTCTTCTCTCACAATTAGAGAAATGTATCTAGGGAGGATACATCAAATGCAAGCAAATAATTTTTCTTTAAAAGGAGAGGGGCTCCTTTCCTGAAATAAAGAACATGTCCAAACTGCAAACTTGCTGTCAGGCAGTGGTGCCTTCAAACATATCTGATAACTCCATGTAGAATTGCCTCAAAAGTAGAAGCAGTAGAGCCCTGTGTGCATGACACTGTGGGCAGACTAAATAGCAGTGCCAAATGAATGTAATTATGCTGCTTCCAATTTGGTAGGTAGACCATGCAGGGCAGTGCACCATGTTCGAGGGCCCCATAGCTGGCATGGTAAGTTTGCAGTGTAGACATGTCCAAAGTACATTTGGAGCTGCTGCTGGTACTTCTATAAGCACTGTGTTTTCTAGTTACCAGCCTACACATAGCCACCATTATGCCTTTATCTAGAGCTGAAGGCAAACTTAAGAAATGTGAAGGATCATTTGTGTACAGTGTGCTATAATTAATAGCTAGTATATTGGAGGCTGTGTGAAATTTTTAATAAAAGGTCATCTTTATAAATAAACATAAGCCTGTACACTCAGATTGTGGGGGCTTTTGTTGAAAAGGCAGAATGAAGCAAATGGTGGTGTTAGTCATGGTGAAGCTTGCCAGCTAATTCAGTGCTTGTGACAGCAACACATTTAAGGTCTGGTTCTTCAACATGATGAAGGCCTTTGAATCCCATTAATTGCAATGGGAAGTGAGGGTACTAAACACCATACAGGACTGAGATTTTAAATTGGGAATTGGTGAGTAACAAGCAGGGTTTAAAAACAAATAATCATAATGAACCAGTGTGTTTGTTCATATGGATTTAGCTTTTGTTGTCCATAAAGTAGGATGTAAGTGTAACTTACCTGATTATAATACACAGCAGTGGCACTACTACTACATTATACTTACCAAATTCTTCAATGTGCTGGCTTTGGACAGACTAGCCACTTGTGTGCATGGTTTCTCAGCTTTCAGTTGATGTGCACTCAAAATAGTTTTCTTAGAATTTGCACCATAATTTTTGTTCAGCTCATGTTATTTCTTCTGTCATCTGAAGGCATTTAAGCGCAGCTGATGCTGATGTAGTGCCTCAGCTGAGAGGCTAAGATGAGATGCCAGCTGCTGTTGAAGACAATACCTGCTGCTTTCAAGAGGTTCAGGTTAGCAATTGCAAGTTTTATGGAACCCCCCCCCCCCCCAAACAGTCAGGATTATCTTTTGAACCGCTTAACTAAAAAGGGGGTGAAAATTTAACAACGGGGATGTTTTAGGAACCCTGCTTTGTTGAGCAGGGTTGACAAACAGATTATAGAATACAGGCAGAGGGAATCCACAGTAGAATAAAACTGAAAAAAATCACTATCCAGTGTAGTAGAATACTGGGTATCAGTGAAAGATGCATGAGAATTGAAACAGAAAAGAAAGATGGCCTAACAAAGTGGCAGCACACCATTATAATACTTTTATGGGATTGGGTACACTTAAAGACTTGCTTCCCTCACTGATGCAGGCCTCACTGTTGATGTGCCAAGAAGGCCATGGCTCAGTAAAGGCCGACAGCCAGCTAGCTTACACAGAGCCTCTTGCTGCCCAATCCATGAACAAATCTTTGAAAGAGGTTGTTTGCTTTCTTTCAAGGCCACACAAATAGGCGCTAGTGCTTCTAGCTCCTTCCTGCCCAAAGCAACAGCAGACTCCATTCTTTCTCTATACTTTGACCATTAGAATAGCTTGCTCGCTTGCTTTTTCTCTCTGTGGCCCATGAGACTGGTTCTCTGTAATTGGCTTATGAAAAAGACTGCTCACAAGTAACTGGTTGTTTTATTAAACTTAGTAGATAACTGGTCACAGTCAAAACTGTTTTTTCCAGATGACTGTATAATGCTGATTATTCCTCATTTGAGTTTACTTGAAATACACAACTCTGCAGGCTGCCTGCACAGGACCCTGGTATTCTACCTCTTCCTATATTCAGTGGATCTGCATTAATACTGTGGTAGCCATAGCCATCTGCAGCTGTGGGAGCAAGGTGATGGAGATTTGCAGTATAGCCACATTACTTTACAAAACAACAGGGTTCTCTGCACTGCAGATCACGGAACTTTAATCACTTGCATTATTAATTGATATGTTAAATATTGGAATCCTCCTCCAACCAATAATTCAGTTTTGCAAAAAGCTGAAGTACCATCAATGGTGCTTGGTTTTTGGTTGTAGTCTTGTTGCTCTAAGGCCATAGGCAGGCAAGGTTCTTTGAGTAGATGTGATATCTTTTATTACTTAGACCAACTGAGTTGTTGGAAAGAAGTTCTTAGCAAGCTTTTGGGTGCAGTCACCCTTCTTCAGGCATAGGGAGTCTCTGCTGGTCTGAGACTCCAAGACTCCCTATGCCTGAAGAAGGGTGACTGTGCCTGAAAGCTTGCTAAGAACGTTTTTTCCAACAACTCAGTTGATCTAATAAAAGATATCACATCTACTCAAAGAACCTTGCTGATCAATGGTGCTTTGTTTTGTTATTTGTCAAAACCCAGATGAAAAAGACTTTATTGACATTGTCAACTTCAAGTAACCTCAAAGAGCCATGATTATTTAGAAAAAAACATTAGATCTAGGAGAGGAGGTAGCACTAACTGCCTGTTGCTGTCCTGCAAAAGGAGTAGCAAGGGAAGTGATGATTTTGAAACCTTTCATACAGAGTGTGGTGCACATACAGTCAGAGTTGGAAATTAGGGGCCTGTCCCCACAACAGCATTTGCTAGTTTGTAAGGGGTTAGGAATATGGTTGATAATAGGAGTGTATTTGCATGCAATTTAACTGTACTGTGACGCTTGTTTTAGCTGAAATGTGGGTTTCACCCTTGCCGGCTACCCAGACTTCGCACGTAGCTCTCATCCAGTATCTAGTCTGGTACATGGTGGTTTCTTGGGTAAGAGAGTTCTGGCAGCATATATGGAACTCTTTATTCATGCCCCTTGTCTTCTTCCTTCCAGAGATTTTTTCATTAGAGACATCCCACAGTTCCTTGCCCAACATGCTGCAAATAATAGTTTTTTTGCAGCCATTTCAGCCTCTATTGAGCTACTATTATACTGTTAACCTAGATTTTACTAGGATGCCATGATATAAGCAGGGTTCTGGATGCATTGCTGGGTGGGTATGATAAAGCAGGACCATCCATGGATGTGATGTGATATTAAGTTGTGTGGATACAAATCAACCTCTTTTTTTTGGTAACTGGGTAAGACACGAATGCCATAAACTGGTTGTAAAAATGGTTCTAGAGCATAGCATAAGTGTAATAGTTTATATATTTGTAATTATTTGTAAGAACACTACTTTACTTTGCTGCTTGAAATAGGGTAAAGAGCTCCAGTATTCTAGCCCTTACTTTCACATAAAATACTGTAGGTATCCTTGAAAAGGAACATGTTCCTCATCCTTAGTTCGCTCTGCATACCCTGTCATGATTTCAGATAATTTTTTACAGAGTGCTGTTTTACTGAGGGCTGAGTGCTGA